ATTTTTACTATCACTGGAACAAAATCTTGAGATAATATACATGTTTAACCGTACACCTTTTATAGAAAATCTCTAACATTTAAAAAAACTCTGTAGCTTTAATATTCTTTGAAATCTGATAAAACCCATTTCTCGTTATACTTTACAAAACCCTCCTTTAGTACTTTAACCTGTTTATTCATTCAGATAAAGTCAGATTCACTTTGCTAACTGCCTGCTTTCCACTGCCCAACTGTAAATGCATCAGCACATGCACACACAATCCCCGCTCCTAAAATGTCCCTTTTAAAAATAAATTACATATACATTCATTTAAGAGGCACCAGTCATCATGAAAAACTGAGAACCAAGATGCACCAGCATTCTTTTGCATTTTGGCAAATTATAACCTTTCCCAAAGGACATATGCATAACAGTCCCCTTAGAAAGCTCACTGGTTCTCTCCAACCTGAGGGAATCAACAAGTACCTCAAATTCCCCTCAAAGCACTTTATGTTAATATTCCCAACTATAGTGTCATACAATCTAAGCAATATTTTCATTATAACTTAACAGCAGTTACATTTCTCATCAGGAATGAATCTAGTGACTCTGGTCCATGCAAGCCTGGCCAGGATGAAATCATCACCAAGGGGCTAGTGTTGAGTCTACAGATACAGTTAGTGTTCCAGGTCTACATGACGAAAGCCGAACCCGTAGGAATCTTATGAATTTACCAATTATAAATGCCACTTCATCATGTTTCTTGAAAGCCAATCTTCTGTGACATCTTAACATTATTTTGTTCCCTCTTTCAAATTTCAAAACAATACACTCATTTACACACACTAAGCCGCTAAATACATGTTAGTTGGGCCCTGTGCCAGATGAGGAGGAAGCATGATTCCTGCTCTTACCAAGCTAAGAAAATAGTAGGGGCAATCAAAATACAATGGTGACGCCACCATAATGTGTTAAATGCTACTGCCAGATTCTGCGAGAATGTAAAAGAGGAATGCAGAATATTTAACTCAACCTGAAGGATCACTTGAGCCAAGAGTTAAAGAACACATACACTGAATGAAAATAAAGGGGAGAGAGGGCTTCCTAGGTCAGAGGAGTGGCGCTTGAGATCAGGACATGGGTGTTAGGGGAAAAAGGAAGCAGTACATGAAAAATGCTGCATACCACTCATCAGGGAAATATAAATCGAAACCACAACGAGATACACCTGTTAAGAATGGCTGTTACCAAAGACAAGAAATAAGTGTTGCTGAGGACGCGGAGAAAAGAAAACACTTGTGCACTGTCGGTGGGGATGTAACTTGGTGCAGACACTATAGAAAATAGTAAGAGGTTTCCTCAAAAAAATTAAAAATACAACTACCATATGATCCAGCAATTCCACTTCTGGGTATTTATCTGAAAAAAATAAAAATACTAACTCGAAAAGATATATACATCCCCATGTTCATTAAAGCATTATTTACAATAGCTAAGATATGAAAACAATGGAAGTATTCACTGACTGGATGAATGGATAAACATTATGATATATGCTGTATATACAACAGAATGTTATTCAGCCATGAAAAAGAATGAAATCTTGCAGCTTGTGACAATATGGATAGATGTGAGAATTGTTCACAGGTGGCAAACACAAGACCCACGGGCTAATCCGGCCTCCACCTTGTGTTATCCAGCCCAGCACCTTGTTTCTACCCAGTGGCAGCGCCAAGCTCCTTGCCCCTAGGTAAGGAGTAGTTACATTTACACAGTCCTAAAATTACATTTGGCCCTTTGAAGGCAACCTCGAGGCTTATGTGGCCCCCAGTGAAAATGAGTTTGACACCCCTGTGCTAAATGAAGTAAATCAGAGAAAGACAAATATCATATGATCTTGCTTATCTGTAGAATCTTAGAAAAAAAAACAGCCAACATCAACAAGACAAGCTCACACACACAGAGAACAGACTGGTGTTTGCCAGAGGTGGGGGTAAGCAAAATGGATATAGGGAGTCAAAAGGTAAAAACTTCCAGTTACAAAGTTAAGTCATGGGAATATAATGTACAACAGGGTGGCCAGAGTTAATACACATATTTGAAAGTTCCTAAGAGACTAACTCTTAAAAGTCCTCATCACAAGAAAAAAAATTATACCTATATATGGTGATGGATGTTAACTAGATTTATTGTGGTGGTCATTTCAAAATATACACCAACATTGAATTGTATGCCTGAAACTAATATAATGTTGCATGCCAATTATACCTCAATTAAAAAAAAATAAAGCCAAGACAGAAGACAGAAGAAAGATCACAAAGGGCACTGTACATGCCCTGAAGACTTTGGGTTCCCGAGAAAGCCAGGCTTTCTATTGTAAAAATCTATCACAGTCTATTTTTAGAGGAAGTCTGACAGGACAGATTTCCATGCTGTAAAGATCACTCTGCCTGTAATATGGAGAAGTGAAAGAGGCGTAGAGGGTTGGCAATAACTCAAAGGCAGGGAAACTCTGAAGGAAACAACTGCAATAATCTAAGCAAGCAATGATGAGAGCCTGGACTAAGGTACTAGCATGAGGATAGAGCAATGGTTCTCAAATGGCATCTCCAGATTTCGAAACTGGGGAAGTACTGCTGGGATCTAGTAGTCAGAAGCCAGAACTGCTGCTAACCACTCTACAGTGTTCAGAACAATGCTCCCTACCCCCAAATGAAGAATGATCCACCCCCACATGCCACTAGTGCCATGAATAAGAAATCTGGGACAGAACAAATTCAAGAGCTATTAAGGTGCTTTACAAGATACCATTTGTAGACTAAATGGGTATAGATAGTAAGTGTGAAAGGCGGTACAGGAGTTCTCATTTTCTGATTATGGAAATCTGAGATGATGGGAGAAAAGGCATGGAGAAAGAAAGCTGGGAATTCAGCTTTCCCATTTCAGATTGGGAATTCAAACAGTAAGAGAAGCCATGGGATTAGGTAGAAGTAACACAAAGTAAGGAATGAGTGCGTGGCATAAAAAATGAAAACCACTGAATAGAAATGCAGAGCACCCTGAGATTTAAGAAAAAACTGACTCCAATATTATTCTTTTAAATTCTTTAACTTACGCGTGAAAAGAATTTTATTTGGAAAGTATAACCTTCCATAAAACTGTATTTAAGGACTATGACTCTCTGTTATTCCAATTCTCAAAATTGTTTTAGAAACTCTAGTAAGAACAGTGGAAGCTCTGCTAATCAATCCCCCATTACCCAACATGCCCCATTATCTCCGATGCTCACAGCAGATCATAGGTCTACTCTTATCAAGCAGTATGCTTACCAAGGGCCAACTGTATTTGTTCCAGATAGTTCTAATTATTGTTATTACAAACAAAATATTAATGAACCAATAAAATAAATGTGCAAAAAGAAAACTGTTTCTATGAAAGTTAAGTCAAATGCTTTGGAAATACACGAAACCTTACTGTATTTCAGTAACTGGGATCAAAAATTTTAATCACATAAACATACAGATAAATGCTAAATATAAACTGACCCTGCACCAGCCTGCAGAGACAGCTAGTCAGGCACCCAAGGAGTCAGATTCAGGCTGTAAACCTGACTCCCCAGGACCTTTTTTTCTAGCTACTTAACCCAAGACTCAGTTTCTTGAACTACAAAACAGCACCAGGCCCATTTCAGCATAGGATTATTTTGAGATTAAACAAGGTAGATACCTTGTTTAGGTAAGTAACTAACAATGCAAACCCACAGTGCACAGATACCCAGTAGGTAATGTTATCTTTCAATCATCTGTTGTGAAAAGAAATACTTTGCTTTTGAAGACCGAAAGGTTCAAGATACCTGTTTCGTATTACAACTACATTGTACAGCTAGCTGCTCTCCTCTGTCCTACAGACTTCTAAAAAAAATTTTGGAAAAGGCCCACTACTACCTGTGGGCTCAGTCCTACTGGCAAAATCTCTGGTAAAGTCAAATCGTTTAAAAAGAGCAGCTGACAGAATCCACCAAATAAGACCAAACCAATCCTGAAGGCGGAAGACTCAAACTATGAGTATCTGACTTTTACACAGTATATCAATTCTCATGTCTTTCTTAACATAGATTACTTACCTCACTGAAAAAGACAATTATATTCACTTTGATAATATCACTTTTCTCCCTTTATTTTATTAAAAAGATATTTTTAATCCTCAGGATTTTTTAAATTGCTTTTTTCATGAGAAAGGAGGAGGTGGGAGGGGGGAAGAGAGGAAACCACCGACGTGAAAGACAAACATTAATGGGTTACTTCCCACACGTGCCTTGACCGGATATTGAACCTGCAATCTAGGTATGTACCCCGATAAGGAATCAAACCTGTGATCTTTTGGTTCATGGGGCAATGCTCCAACCAACTGGGCCACCTGGCCACGGCCTCCCTTTACTTATTTTCTTTAAAAAGGATAAAACTGACAGTTTCCCTTAAAATCTGCATGGGAGGGACCACGTCCCACTCATCATTTTATTTCCAGCGCTTAGCAGCAGAACACAGTGATGTTCCTATAAAGGCAGTCACAAAAGTTGTCATACCTACTCTTGTCTCACTATGTACAATTCGTGGACTGGGAGGAGGTTTCCGTGTGAGAGGTAGGTGCTTTCCCTCAAATGTTTCATTATGGAAAGAAGAACAGAACACTCTCTTGTTAACAGGACCGTTGTCTCCATCAAGTGTGGGGTAGAGGAGATGAGATACTGTGACCAAGATGAATAATTAGTACTTTTTGAAACTGTGAATGCTGTGAGACTGACCTCGTGTAGAGAACCTGGGGGCTTCCACTACTCACGAGGAACCAGCCAGAACTGGAGGAACTGCACCAGTAAGGAGGATGCAGTTTAAGGGAGAACGCAGAGGCTTTAAAACATGTACAGCATAATTATAACTTCTGAAGATTTGAAGTTGCCAAATGTAGGATAGTTATAACTACTAGTTAATGTGTAAAATCTTAATAAACTCTGAGGAACTTACCTAGATTTATCCAAATTCCACCTGGCTTCAGTATTTTCCATATTGTGTCAATATAATCAATTACATTGTGAGCTGTGTCTATGAAGAAACAGGTAGCAATACAGTCCCAGGTATCTATTCAAGGAAAACCAAATTACTACATTTGTCATGTGATCCTGACTTTTAACTAATTCCATAAGCATACCAGCTACCTTTTACAGAATATTAATATTTCACTTAACTGCAGGGATATAGAAGCTACTAAACCCTTTCAATCAACTACTATAATCAAGGTAAAGAAATAATCTTTTATGAGATCCCTGGCAATGCATGTCTTTATTAATAATTTGATAATAAATTTGGAAATCATTTTTATTGTTGGTATCACATTATCTTTATCAAAGGATATTATCTTGTTTATAATTTACTCAAATGCCTTCATTTAAAGTCAGTGATGATGAAATAAGTCATTTGAATTTTAAAATTGTGATTTCAACCAATGTTAATTACCAATTCTAAAAGGTTTCAGAAAGACTGCATGCCTATACTTTCTCTGTAACTTCTATTCTTAGAAAGACCTCCCCTGGGAACTATACGAGGGGGGAACCCCCAAAACCAGAATTATCTTCTGGAGGGCAGGACCCTTAGAGGAACAGGCTTCCTGCGAGGTGCGTGTCCTAGGAGGAAGGGGTTTGTATCTCTGTGCCAGCTGGCATTGCTGTGACAGGCTGCATTCGGCTTCAGTGAATTTTTTTTTAAAGCAACTCGTTTGCCAAGTTCATGACGGGTGATTTAGGAGCGCACCTGCCCACACCACACTGTGGCAGTTTTTGACCCAAACTGACATGACCACTGTGCCCCACACTCCCTATTCACCAATCTCACCCTGAGCAACTTTGTTTTTGTTTCCCAGGATGAAATAAGTCCTTGAAGGGGAACGTTTTGCAGATGTGGAAGAGGTGAAACAAAAAACAGCAGAAGCACTTCAGATTAAAAGACATAAAAATCAACAAGGTCGAAACTGTTTTGAACAGTGGAAAAAATGTCTCAATGTGTGTACTGCATCAAATGGAGAACACTTTGAGGGGACTGAAGTTTAAACATGTAAGAATACACAACTTTATATAAATTAACTTGGTTTTTTTCTTTGGGTCCCCCCCCACCCCATATAAAACAGCAGCCCCTCCCAGTCCCTCATCATGACCTTTACCCTGACTTACTTTCCTTCCTCACAATACTAATTTGGCATTGCCTCTCTCGCCTTAAAGAATATATAAATTTCCTGTGTACAGGGACTTTGTTTTGCTCAATGCTCTTTCCAATGACTAAAACAAATCTGCCACTTAGCAAGTATTCAACAAATATCTGTTAAATGAATGCCTGCTGACCCCTCGGCTTTTTATTCTTCCGTTCACTGCCAACACCCCTCCCCCCTCACCACATCCCATTCCTTAATGCCTCGCACGTACTTCTTCACGAGTTTGCCAGGCTGAAGTCCAAATTTCATAGCCTGATACAAAGGTCCTCCATGATCAGGAGCTACTTCTCTAGCCACATTTCCCATTAAATTTCCAAACACACCTCCCCTCCCCTCCCCATCCAGTAAGGATGTTCTATCATCCCCAATTACCTCATTCATTCTTATCTATCTACCTCCACCTACCTGGAAGGCCATTCCTCCTCATCCTTCAAGTCACAGACTCTCCCGCTAACCTACTTCCACTTTTACTGCATTCATTACTCATTTGAACTTTGTTCACATATTGCCTTGTCTTAATAGACCCAACAGATTCTAAATTTCTTAACTGTGGGATGTTATACTTCTTTGTATCTTCCATCACTGCCTTATACATGGCCTTCAAAAGATTCTAAATTGTCACTGAAGTATACCTTATATTCTGCCATCACAATAAATGACCAAATCTTTGGCTTAGTATAAAATTAGTTCATTAAACTTAGAATAAAAGATAAGATGTTTAAAATGCTTGCTTTAGACTTACTGCATTCTGAGTATATCTCCTGAAAATCTCCTGCTGTCATAGAAAAGTTAGAACCAGGAGGAAGACTGTGGGGGTCAACATCAGGGAAAAAGATGGGTCGAATCTGATCAGCTGACCTCCGGTTATTGCTAAACTGATGGATCCAGGGATAAAGCTTATATTTATTAATTTCAGAACATCTGCAAAATATGAGCACAAAATTCAGTGTTAACTAAGTATTTTACCGAGAAAATCTACTTTAAACACTAAAATATATTCTTTTCGATTGAAGATTTACTTACTTATAATCAATACTTAAAAAGTGTTACTACTACACCCTACCTAATTATCTGAAAATGTACACATGTATGCAGATGAGTAACCAACCGTGAACTAAAAGCAAAAACTGAATTCTGATATATAAATGTGTTGTTCCAATGCTAAAAAGGTATTTCCAAACTTCAAAATTAAGTAAAAAAGCAGTTCAAGTATGTCCCCCAAAATGGTGTGGGTTTTGTTCCATACCCATTTTAATGATTTTGTACAACTCTCTCCTTTTTACCTTCTTATCACCCCCTAACTCACCCAGCCACCAAGACACGTATTATTTAAACCAGCAGTTTTTTCTTCTTTCTCTAACACACCTATTCTGACTTTAAAAATAACAACTCTTCTCCGCTACTTACTAAAAGAGGCCACAGAAGTTCTGAGAGACCTTTCCAAATGAGTGATGGGGGCTTACTTGGCCATTCAGTAAGAATTTGATTAGGGAAAAAAGATGTGACTGCTACACTGTACTCTTACTCCACAAAGAAACAATGTGGTGAAGTACTTTAAGGAACAATGAGAAAATACTCCTTCCTGGATCACCTAGTCCTGAGATTCACAGAGAAAACATTTCTGTTTCATGGGATACCAAGTTACTTTCTAAAGTCACTAACCCAACCTGATCAAATTTCTGTTAACTAGGCAACTGATTAAAGTGGTAATTGTATAAGCAATTTAATGTAAGAAATATTTATGGTATGTATCTTAATTAAATACTATGTGCTCATCTTCAAATTCAGAATTGTTCAAAAATAGGTAAGTCAATCTGATTCTGAGAAATTACTATTTCTAGCAAAAAGTAAATTAAATACCTGTTGAGTACAAAGTTGGAAGAAAAGAGCATAAAAAAACTCCATTCATTTCCTTGACAAGCATAACCTAGCATAGCTATTTCCCAGGCCAGTCTTCCTAGTCCAGCACCAGGTACCAGAATATTTACTTTAGAAGGATCCCTGAAATGAAATAAGGCAATTATGTCCAACCCCTTAAAGGAAAAAAAAAAAAAAGGACAAAATCCACATTAACAACTAAAACCTTTGATATTTAATAATAAGGTCACTCAGGACTCTGACTACTTAAAATTGAGAAATACTTCTAAATATCAGTGAAAAATAAAGGCATAAGAAATTATCACATGTTTGGATATCAGATAAGGGTTTAATCCCCCAAATATTACTTTTCAGAGAAAAACGTAGTCAACTGATATCTGGAGACTTACGAAGACACATTCCTAGCAGCTGTCACCTGAACAACTGTCTTAGGAAGACAAATTATCCCAAAGGGATCCCAATACATACAAAGAGATTGAACAAAATTATTTTATCATATGAGACAGTAAACAATTTTATATCTATATTCTATATCGGATACAATGGTTTATGTAACTAAATAGATTAAATACATATAAATTTTAATGTGTCATGTATATCTTTATCATCTTATATTTCAATTGGCAAAAGATTTCGGAGGGGGAGATATTCTCACAAGGAAAAGCCTCTGAGTCAATCTGCATATACAATGGCAAACATACCACATCAAACCAGAAAAACACAACCAAACTATTCTCCACTTATTTGCATCACTCTACCACCGATTCCCTTGGCTATAAAATTCACCATTCCATACTAAGCTACTAAAAATTAGCCTTAACAAAGCAAAGGCCTTTCTCAGGCCTTCTGGCAAATAGCTTTAAACCTAGGGAAACTCAAACGGTATTTTTACAGAAAACCAAAGAAAAATGTGTATAATCAGCTGTCATGTCAATTAAAAAGGAATTTCTCTATTGTCTGTATTCCCCAAATTTAGTCCATAAATCAAATCCAATTTTCCAATCTAGTCTGATGTATGGTTTCTTTTTACCTTTAAACTACATGATGTTTAATTTTGGTGTGGTCCAAACAGCAGTAAGGCTGTTTCCTAGTAGCCCCATAGAATAACCTTTGCATCTCCTGCTTTGAAATAAAGAACAAAACTGTGTAGTTTTGGGAAATTCAGCCTACAAATAGTTACATGGAAATCTGCCCACGGTCATTCAGCCTTAAATTTTTACATATAAAACCTTAAGAAATGCTATTTAGTTTGTTCCCCTGTTGAATTTTACATATACAAGATGGCATAAACCAAAATTTGTTAAAAATGGTTTTTGACAAATATGATTATGATTAGTAAGATATCCTTTAACCCTTGATATGGACAAACTAATTCCAAGGTGCTGTACAAGTTCTCACTATAATAAAATAGAATGCATTCTTCTCATTCCAGATTATACACAATGTATGTGTGCATGTCTGTGTGAACACTTTAAGGGCGTATCTTCAGTCCTACCTACATCAGTTATCTAACAAAAATATACTAAATTTTAATATTAGAATGTGAAAAACTCCCAGCTGTAGAACTCTATGCCATTCCTTGTATAAAGGACCTGCCACTACGGCACGCCCCAAACCCCCCATTTTCCACTCCCTACCAGACCCACCCAAACCCTTACTCTCTGGAATCACCTCTTGTCATTTCCTAGTTGCCCAATCAAAATATGCACCTCTTCCAAGTTCTGTTTTCAGCTCAGAACGTTCAAATAATCAAAGTAACGCAACAGAAAGTAAATAGATTTGAAAGGAAATTGAGTACTTAAATCTTTGTAAAAATAATCACTAATAATCAATTTCTCAATAGCCAATGATCTGCATAAAAGGTTACCATGCAGAACATAGGGGAGTCTCAACAGTATTATTATGGCTGAAAAAGACGATTTCAAAGGTGACAGAATATACTGTATGGTTTCATGTTCAGGACATTCTCAGGAAGGTAAAACTGTAATGGTTGATAAGCATTTAGCACAGGTTATGGGTGGGAAGGGTGTGTCTCTACAAAGGGAAACACAAGGGTGTTTTGTGGGGTAATGAAACTGTTCTGTATCCTATTGGTAGTGGTGATTAAGCAAATCTACGCAGGTTAAATTTCATAGACATATACACCAAGAAAAGTAAACCTTACTGTATATTAAAATAGAAAATGCAGAAATTACAAACCATGTTAACCGTAAGGGAAGTTTTTGTTAATAATTGTACCAACAATTATTTTGTTAAATGAAGGAAAAGTTAACTTATGACTATTATGAAATTCACCCTACCTAATTAGGGCCACAGTACTCTCTAGCCCCACCTTGTGGCAGAAGGTTTCTTTATAAAACTGATTATTAACAGACTGGCATCAAGCCACGGAATACAGAATATATCAAGGCCCCATCTTAAGCCCTAGCAGAGATTACAAACTCACCAATCACTTGTATTATAAAAAAAGATTTCAGTGGGCATATAAAAGGATACACATTAAAACAAACTCTCTAGAACTGAAAAATGCTCAACAATCAAGCAATGAATGGGAAATGGAAAAACATTTTCCCTAATTCCATGTTCTTAGCTAGATTGTATTTCATTGAGTGTTTATAACAGCATATTAAACATCCCTCTAATTACAATGTATATGAAACTAGGGCACTCTAGAAAAGCGGTTTCTGCAATGGATCCTTATAAAAGCTAGGACATTTCTATGAAGGCATTTCTGTGGAGAGTAAGAAATATAAATCTAAGTACAGAACTTTATGATGAGCTGACTTAAAAATGTTGCCTGAAGATTCACAGCAAAAACAGGCAAGCAAACAAATTGACCTTGTTAAGATCCAAATATGGAGAAGCAGTGTATTTAGTACAAATGTAAAACCCCTGCATAATAGTGGGAAAAGTTTAACAGTTTATTAAATAGAAGCAAGAACTGAGATGGGTCCATTTGTAAGACAGAACAGAGGGTGCTGTGTGTCTCAACAGCCCATGGATCACCTTTGCAACACCCTTTGTGCTCCAATTATTTTACCAGCAGTATACGTTCTTTCAAAAGATTTCCTTTATTGGCCACATAATTTTTTGCATTGGAGTTGCAGATATGCAAATTCCAACACACAAAATAGTTCCTTTTCTTTTGTGAATGTGACATTAAACTGACACCTAGTGGCAGGAGTATGTACTACCTTCAAGCATCAAACAGATTCAGTTCTGTTTGAATCCGACCAATTCAATCATGGTCCAGTATAGCAAAAGCCACTAACCACTTGTGGCTGGCTATTCAACACTTCAGTTATGGCTAGTTCCAACTGAGATGTGCTCAAGTGTAAAATAACGCCAGATTTCAAAGACTTTGTTTTTAAAAAGGAATATAAACTATCTCATTAATAATCTTGTACTCATTCATTATAAGCTGAAATATTTTGATATCCTGGTTATTAAATTATATTACTAATTTCACCTATTTCTATTTAACTTTTTATGTAGTTACTAGAAAATTTAAAATGACATCCATGGCTTACATTATAATTCCACTGATCAGAATTGACCCATACTAAGAAATCACAAAAACATAATTATGAGCAAAAAACATCCTTTCGCAGAGGATATTTCTGATATCCAATTAGTACAATTAGATAATTAGTACAATTACCAATTTATGATATCCAATTAGAGGATATTTCTGGTATCCTCTGTGAAAGGATATCATAAACATAAAGAGAAATACAATGTTTGTACTGTTTGGGGAACAATTCTAAACTAGTGTGCCACAAAAATTTATTTTTAATATTTTATTTTAGAGAGAGGGGAAGGGAAGGAGAAAGACAGGGAATGAAACATCAATGTGTGGTTGCCTCTCATGCCCCACTACTGGGGACCTGGCCCCCAATGCAGGCATGTGCCCTGACTGGCAATCAAATCAGTGTCCCTTTGGTTTGCAGGCCCACGCTCAATCCACTGAGCTACAACAGCCAGGGCCACAAACTTTTTTATAACATGCAATACCTTACTATTTAGTCAGGGGCACCAACCTTTTTTCTCTTAGACTTTCCAATTAAAAAAATGACAACAGCCAACACATAATAGCAGCTGTCTGGTATGAATCAAAATTATGCCTTTCTTTTTTTTTTTTTGTCAGCTAGGCAAAAATCATACATTTTGGTGTGCTACAGAATTTGAGTAATTTATGTGTGCCATGAGATGAATGAAAAAGGTTGAAAATTGCTGGTGTAGGGGTGATATAGTTAATGTAAGAAGATAAGATTAAAGTAGCAGTTTCGTATTGTTCTCTCTGGAGAGAATGTGCTCTATACAATGTTTGACAGTTTGAACTGTATCTGCAATGTTTCTTTTAAAAATATAAGCTTTTGATGTAAATAACAAAATGTCAAGTTTAACAAAGCTAGGTAGAGAAATATTTTTTATTCAAAGTAGAAAATGAGTTAGAAATCAGAATTAGTATCTAGCCCCTTCAAAAGCATGGTCCCAACTTACCTCTTACTCCCAACAAAACTCTATCAGCCAAACAACTTCTCACCAATGCCACAAAACACTTTTTCACCTTAATCTTTAGAGCTCCTACACACCCACAGAAGCTCAGTTTAAATTATCACCTTGTCTATGAAGTCCTTCCCAAATATCCCAGGCAAAGCTTGAATGTATTTCTTGATGCTTTCAGTACTTCGTTCATACCTCTATTACAGTTCATATTTCAAGTTCTTCACTTTGCTTCTTTTATTTAATACCCACAGGCCAGTCCTCTGTTTTGTAAATAAGGTTCAACGGAACACAGCCACAGCCATTCATTTATGTGCGGTAAATGGCTACAACAGAGCTGAGTAGACCCCAACATGACACTGCCTGCAAAACTACAATATTTACTATCTGGCACTTTATTTCATTTGTTATTGTAACATTAAAACTAATATCCTTGACATAAATAATTTCCACATGCAGAAGTATATCTGTAGAAAGCTTCTCTGAAATTGAATCGCAGGAGTCAAAAGATATGCATCTGATTTTCCTTAAATATTACAAAGTTGCTTCCATAAAATTTTACTAATTTATTCCATCAGCAACATGTGATTCCTCATACTTTCACTAAGTTACGTAAC